ACGTAATAAAAACCTAACCCCCCCCCCACACACACACTCAAACAAACCTTAACACTCACTCTTCTATCACTCTTTTTTGTACTTTTACGTTGAGCCCTTCCATTACTCTATGTAATTACCAAGCTGCAGCTTAATTACTTTTCCTTCCCCTTTATTCCTGTCATTTCTTTCTATATCAGTAGTTTTTGTTTATATTTATCTTTAATGATGTTTGCACCAAAGTATTTTGTGGATAAAAGGTACCGAAACGCCCCCCCCCCCCCCCCCCCCTATTTTTTTGCCATTATTATTATTGTTGTTATTATTATTATTATTATTACTGTTTGATTCATGTATTGTATGTTTCAACCATTGCAGATATGTATGAAAGTGTGTCTGTGTATGTATGTACACATATATGTATGTGTTAATATATTTGTGTAATTATTCATTTTTTATTGACTTTTTTATCTTTGATAATTACGCCTCTTATCATCTACAGTCATCACATATAAATACAATGCTGTCTGTTTTTTTTCTTTTTTTGCCGTTTTTCTCCTTTTCTTTCTTTTCCTCACCCCTCTATGACTCCTCACATTAAATATCGACTTCTCTAGCCCCCCAGTCCCGCCACTTCCACTAGCCCCTAGTTTGGGGGAGTGGTTCTTTTCCCCTGTGCCTCTGGGTGGGGCAGATCACCTGATGTACCGGGGTGGGTCACTGAGCTGCTGTGGGGTGGGGGCCTTCCAGGGGCCGCTCTCCAGGGGCCACCCTCCCGCCCACTGCCCTGGGCTGGGCCAACCTGCAAGCTCCGCTTCTTTTAATGCATCACACCAGAATAGTTTGCAAGGAGTTTGCAAAACATTACTACAACTTTGACTAGAATCAAATTCAATTGTCTGATAAAACAAAAATGGAGCTTTTTGGGAATAAACATTCAAGGTGGGTTTGGCATAAAAAGAAGTATAGCTACAATGAAATGAACCTCATCCCAACTGTAAAATATGGTGGAGGTTCTGTGATGTTGTGGGGATGTTTATCCTCCAAAAACCCTGGAAACCTCGTTAGGGTACATGGTACTATGGACTCCATGAAATACCAGAACATTTTATATCAACATTTGGCTGCCTCTGCCAGGAAACAAAAACTGGGCCATCATTGGATCTTCCAGCAGGACAGTGATCCTAAGCACATGTCCAAATCAATACAAAAGTGGTTAGCTGACCACAGAATCAAGCTTCTGCCATGGCCATCTCAGTCCCCTGACCTGAACCCCACTGAAAACCTGTGGGCTGAGCTGAAGAGGAGAGNCCCTGACCTGAACCCCACTGAAAACCTGTGGGCTGAGCTGAAGAGGAGAGTGTACAGGAGAGGGCCGATAACCCTGGGTGATCTGGAGAGATTCTGTACAGAGGAATGGCTCAGATGCCCTGCTCTGTATTCTCCAACCTTATAAAATGTTATAGGAGAAGGCTCAGTGCTGTTATTTTGGCAAAGGGAGGCTGTGCAAAGTATTAAAAGCAGGGGTGCCAATAATCGTGGCAAATATGTTTTTTTGAAAATAATTATTTCTTGATAAAGGATTTGTTTTTACTTGGATCAATTTATTTCAATGAAAGGTTGTTTTTTCTCATTTTTTCAGTGTGAGATGAAGCTGCTTCGCCAAAAGGTGTATTTTTTTCTAACCCTTTTTACAAATCTTTACAACGGGTGCCGATAATTGTGGAGGGCTCTGTATATTATTTATATACGACACTGTATTTTTACTAAATGGTGGTAAGTTACTTGTGTCCTCTACTGTGAACACGCGTGTAAAATAATCATTAAACTCATTTACTATCCATCCATCCATTATCTCCCGCTTATCCGAGGTCGGGTCGCGGGGGCAGCAGTCTCAGCAGGGAACCCCAAACTTCCCTATTCCCAGCCACTTCATCCAGCTCCTATGCTAACAGAACCACATCGTCTGCAAAAAGCAGAGACCGAATCCTGAGGTCACCAAGCCGGACACCCTCAACGCCCTGGCTGCGCCTAGAAATTCTGTCCATAAAAACTATGAACAGAATCGGTGACAAAGGGCAGCCCTGACGGAGTCTAACCCTCACCGGAAACAAGTCCGGCTTATTGTCGCCCATGCGGATCAGGCTCTGGCACCGGTCATACAGGGACCGAACAGCCCTTAAAAGGAAGCCCGGCACCCAATACTCCCGGAGCACCCCCCACAGGACTCCCCGAGGGACACGGTCGAATGCCTTCTCCTAGTCCACAAAACACATGTAGATTGGTTGCCCACATGGAAAGAACCTATATGAGGATATATGCGCATATATGAAACCTATATGCAGTATATATGCATATATATGATAATATATATGCTGCATATATG